TGAATAAAAGATCATTGAATGTTTAAAACAAATATAATAAATTATATAGTAGAGATTATAAATACATAGAAACAAAGTATATGACAATAATAGCAAAAAAACACAGAAGGGGAGAATAGAGGCATACTGTTTTTAGGTTCTTACATTAAATGTAAAATGATATTACTTTAAAGTAATTCATGACATCTTAAAAATACATACTGTAAACACTAGAACAGTTACTGATGAAGTAAACAAAGAAACAGGCAAACTTTCATGTCAGTAGGCATGAAAGTTCACAGAAAAAAAACAGCAGGACTGTAAAAAAGTGTAATATGGCTCAGAAAAACAACTAAGAATGACATGAATATCACCAAATTAATACAACATAAAAAGAGACATAATTAGGGCAAGAGCAATGACTTTATCACCTAAAATTTTAATTTTTCTGTCATCAAAAGACCCCACGGGCAAAAATGAAAGCCTCAAGTGTGGGTTAAAAATCTCCAAATATATTCCAGACAAAGGACTAATATTTCCATATATAAAAAGCTATTACAGACCAGTATACAAATTGTAGGAAATAAAATTGGAAAAAAGTCAAGATAGGAGCAGGTAATTTGTTGTTGTTGTTGTTGTTTAGGTACTGGGGATCGAACTCGGGCCCTTGCGCTTGTACAGCAGGCAGCGATACCACTGAGCTAAATCCCTGGCCTGGTAGTTTGTTTTTTGTAATGAATTTGAATGGTACATTTTACGTATACAATATAATGACATTCATCATTGCAAATTTCCACCTTTACATAATCTCTCGTGGTTCTTATTTTTTCCCCCTTCCCCTGCCCTCCCTTCAACCCCTCTATCCCTATTTGCAAAGACTTTGTTTCCATTTTTTTCATTTTCTCATAGTAATTCCTTTCTCCTCTTTCCTTTCCCCTACCCCTCCCATAGCCTCTTCCCCTTTGCCCCTTTTCTTCCTATTTCACATGATCTATTATACCTTTTAGTCCTTATTTACACTTTCAGTTTCTCACACTAGAGAAACTATTGGGTATTTGCATATGTGTGTCCTATTTATTCCACTTAATACTATCACCTCAATGTGCATCCATTTAGCTATAAATGTCTCTAATTTCTCGTTTTTGATGGCTGAGTAGTACTCCATTTTATTTTTTAAAAAAAACCCACGTTTTCTTGATCCAGTCTGCAGCTGATGGGCATTTGGGCTGTTTCCAAGTTTGAGCTATTACAAACTGTGCTACTATGAACATGGGTGCACATGTCATTATTATAAAGAGTGGCTTCTTTACTAGGAAGAAGGCCAGAAAGACTCCTTGATTGACAGTTCGAGAGTCCTGTGTTGTCACAGTGAACTAAAGAACAACCGGGGTGGGAAACTCCATGTTTTCCTGTTCCAAGAAGTGCCTGTGATTGATTACTTGAGCCATCACCCACAATGAGCAGCTGTGCTACCAGTTGTACCGGCAGCCAATTCCTGTGAAGGATCTCCTTCCTGCTGGAAGACCTTCAAGACAGAGAAGTGGGACTGGGCGGCTCCCTGCGCAGGGCTTTCAGCAACAATGAGAGAATTAAAAACTTCTTCGGGGTCAGTTTCAAAACTGGATCCCAAAGTCAGAGCTGCTCATTACAACCCAATGATACCTTCAATAAACAGCAGTGGCTCAATTGTATTCACCAAGCCAAAGAAACTGTTCTGTGTGTTGCTGGGCAGGCAGGGGTGCTTGACTCCAAGGGACCATTCCTAAATCCCACCACCAGGAGCAGGGAGCTACAGGGAGAAACAAAACTTGAGCAGATGGACCAATCGGACAGAGTCAGACTGCAGCATGGACACAAGCAAGGTCAGTCTTGACTGTGAGCACATGGAACAGACTCTTCCTGTGGGAACAGCAGGCATGTGGAAAGCAATGTCTAACAGAAGGGTGTGTCCCTCATGGAAGGGGCCCTGTGCCTTGCCTGTATTTGCATTCCACACATGCAAAGGTTTGGAGAAGCACTTTTTAATACTTTAGAGAGCGTGTTGGCCCAGTCTCTTGTATCTGTACCTTTGTCTCTAGTACTGTAACTGCTGATCAAGCTGTCTGAGTCAGCAGGAACCTGGCAGCCGTTAACCTGTGCTGTGTCTAACAAGTGTCTGGATGGATGGAGAGGTACTTTCAATAGTCCTGCTGGATTTTTAAAAAAAGAAAAAAAGAAAAATCTAAGCTACTGTTTAACATAGACTGCTTGAACAGTTCTTCCTCCCATGCCTCTCTGTTGCTCTTCTAGCTCTTTGGTGTGGTGGCTGAAGGCATGGAATTTAGAGGGCTCTGCAAATAGAATTTGGGATGGTATTTGGGGGAGAACTAGGAAAAAGCAGCTATTGATGTGAAAATTTGGTTCTGTATTACTCAGCCAGCAAACATGAAAACATCCCTGGGGATTTGGAAGGCTTAATTTTACAAAGGAAGAAGTATTGTTTAAACCTTGCAATTTCATTCAGTGCATGTTTGATGCAGTAATCAGTGAGGATATGAGATAGAGAATGACCTTGAAAGAGCCAGGACAAAAGCAGCTGTCAGCTCTGAATCTTTAACTAAAGTGCACATGGCTCCAAGAGGTGTCTGCCATGGTTGGTGACCCACCATAAAGAGCCATTTTCAGCCTAAAATACCAGAATAGAACCCAAAGGACCCAGGAAAGCCTACCAGGATAACGAGGAAGCCCTGTCTTCATTTGGTTTCACCTGTCTAGGCCACTCATATTTTACAGTGTGAATGAAGCGATAGGAAAAGGAACTGTAACTGGATCAGTGACTGATTACAGAGCACATGAGAAGAATAATTGGGAGAAGCACTTCCTTGGGGTCTTCTATGGGAACCATTAAAAGAGAAAAGCAAGGAAGGATGGCCGGAGCCTTCTGAGACAGGCCATAGCCTTGGGATTTCCTGCTCTGCTTTTGGTCATCCATTTGCATCTTGGTTCTATGCTATCATCAGAATCATAATTACATTTTCCAGAGGCCAATTTCATTAACTGATCAATTAGGATCAGCTAGCCAAACTTGTAACCTCTTTGTCCAGCCTGGATTTCCAGAGCAGGGTGGCTTGGAGACCTTTAAAAAAAAGTGAAAATACACAGAAAAACTCCCTATGTTTATAAATATTTAGAATGATCTGTGAAAAATTATACCCACACCAGCACTAGTAGCAATAATTCTAAATTATTGCCAAGAAAATTGTTTTTAATCTTCTGTCTTTTAAGTTTATAGAAAAGAAAGCAGCAAGTACAATGTTGTCATTTTATTGTGTACATAGATCATGTGTGTTCAAAGAAGCTGTATGACAAGAGTTAATGATAAAAAAACAAGGTATATTACATTATTATTTTTCAAAAGCAAAAAATATTATGGTCAATTTTACCCTGTAAAACATATTTATAGATTTTAAATATGGTGAATTTTTCTATTAAAAGTTTATTTAAAACTACTTTGTTTCTCAAGTTATGATCTAGCAAGTGAATGAACCTGCTGCAGACAGAAGCAGAGAAAAACTGAGAAAAGTCCTTCGATGATGGGAAAAGAATGAATCATTCTTTGAAGAGTCACTGGCCATACTGACCAATGTATCAAGAAAAGAGGTTTGTTAAGTGCTGGTCTATGGGAAGGAAGTCATTGAATGTTGTGGTGGAATGAATGTTTTTGTATAATGGCCTTAAACTTTTCTGGAAGCATTTTAAATAAATTACATTAAAAACATCAAAAAAAAGATCTAAATGTTAAAACAGAAACACTGTACTGGGAGATAAAATAGATAAAACTATTGACATAGGAGTAGGAAAGGACTCTCTGAACAGAACCCCAATTCCACAGAAATAATACCAAGAATCAACAGATGAGTTTATATCAAATCAAACTAAAAAGCTGCACCACAGAAATAACCAACAGAGTAAAGAGACAACACACTGAATGGGAAAAAATTTTACTAGCTACACTTTGGACAGAGGATTAATATCTAAAATATACAAAGAACTCAAAAAAAAAAAAAACACCACCCCTCTGAATAAAAGACCCAATCAAACAATGGGCAACTGAAATAGACATTTCTCAGAAAAAGTACAAATGGTCGATACATACATGAAAAATATTCAACATCACTGGTAATTAGAGAAATGCAAGTTAAACAACAATGATATTTCCATTTTATGAAAAATGGCTGTCATCAATAGATCAAATAATAACAAATGCTGGCAAGGCTGCAGGGAAATAGGAATCATTCTACATTGCCGATGGTAATATAACTAGTACCGCTATGGAAGTCAGTATGGAGAGTCTTCAAAAAACTTAAAATAGAAATTTCATTTGACCCAGCTATTTCCCTTCTAGGTATCTTCAAGAAAGAGTTAAACATTATATTACAGTAATACTTGCATACCCATGTTTATAGAAGCACAATTTGCAATAGCTAAATTGTGGAAGTGACCTATGTGTCCATTAACAGATGAATGGATAAAGAAAACATGGCATTTCTACACAATGGAGTACTACATTGCTATAAAGAAAGGTAAGTCTGAGTCATTTGTAGGAAAATGGATGTACCTTAAGACCATAATGTTAAGTAAAATAAATCAGACACACAGGTTTAAATATTTCATGGTTTCTCTTATATGAAAAAACCAAAGTATACATAAATCAAAGAGCAAGATAAAAGACAGAGAATAGGAAATAGGGAGACAGATCTTTGGCAAATGGCAGGGGGGTGGGGCCGGGGATTTAGCTCAGTGGTTTCGCCGCCTGCTGCACAGGTGCAAGGACCCGAGTTCGATCCCCAGTACCAAAAAAAAATAGCAAGGGGGCAAAGCAAAGTTGGGATGGAGCAGTAATAGGGGAAGGGGATGTAAAAAAATTAAGATGTATTATACATATGTTCCAACTACCCCCAATGAATGTGCTCACCATATATCACAAACATATACTAATAAAAACTTTTAAATTTAAAAATATTTCATAGATTTATACAAACCCGTAATATTGCTCTTTCAGGTAACAGTGAAATGTCACATTGTGAAGTGTCATGTACAAGGCTGACTTCAGACAAACTTTGCTCAAGAGAAAGAGATATTTCTTCTGCCTCTTCTTCCTCTGCACTTTCTTCAGTTGTTTTCAATTTTAACTTACTTTTCCATTTTCTCAACTGAATTTCATGTTTTGATATCTGCAACAAAAATAATTTATAACTTCCATGGATTTACTCTTAAGTGTCAAATGAGAATATATACGTGCAATGTTTCCATTATGATGTTTTAAACAATAACAGCACCAATTAAACATTATTTATCATTATTAGAAAAAATATTATTTTCCTTATGCAGCCTTAATGTTCCCTGAACCACCACAGCTTTACAGATCATTTTCATTGGCTGTCATACAATACTAGCACAGGCAGCCACCTTAGAGATCTGGTCTAGTCTCCTCTTTTTGTACATGAGGAAACTGAGGCCCAAAAGTGATCCTTCTGGTGGGCCCAGGGATTTACCTCAGTGGCACCGTGCCTGCCTTACAAGCACAAGGTTCTGAGTTTGATCCCTGATATCAGAAGAAAAAAAAAAAGAGTGATCCTTCTGGTAATAATAGAACTGGTACTTAGGGCATGGAAGGTAAGTGATTAGCCCAGACATAATCCAAAAGGAGGAGAGTCAGAAAGAAATTATTTGTAAACTTGCCTGATTTATCATTACAGGAAGTTCCCATTTTAACTTTGATACACTCCTGGAAACTATAAAAATTAGACGTCTGTTATGGCTGTGTCTAGATGTCCCCCCAAAGCCTCATGCAGTCATAGCAGGTGCTTTTCAGAGGTGGCTGGATCTAGAGTATGTGGTGCTGGGATCAAGGGTATGTGATTACTAAATCAGTCCACTGACTGGTTTGACGTAGTTCTGGCCAAGGGTGTGAGTGCTACATCTGCTGTGGGGCAGGTAGCCTGCATAAGATATAAAGGATAGAGAGAGGGCTAATGTGCTCTCACCTGCCTGCCTGCCTGCCACGCACTGTTTGTCCTCTGTGATGCCCCTCTGCCAAGCCACCCTGCCTTGGAGCCAGGCGACTATGGACTAAAACCTCTACAAACTGTGAGCCAAATAAACCTTTCCCCCTTTAACTTTGGGTATTGGGTATTTTGTCTCAGCAATGAGAAAAGTAAAACAATTCCCTAAAGAAAAACAAGTATTTCACACACACACACACACACACACACACACACACACACACATAATTTCAGTGTAATACATACACATACCAGAGTCTAAGGAAGAGCACATACTAGAGAACCAGCACACACAGCACATGGGGTCCCAGCCCCTGCTCCCAGGCCACAGCTGTCATCCTCAGTGAATACAGAATGTTGCTCGGCCAAGAAATTGTATAATTAGAAGCAAAGATTTTCTCTGAACATTCATATAACACATATGTATTAAGGATAATATTCCTGTATATATAATAAATAGCCTAACTACAGTTGTGTACAAAACTTCATGCTCAGTGTATGGGTTGGATTCAGAGAACACTGCTTGCTCTGGGTTAATTAGCTTAAGGGACATATACAGGGAGCTATTTCACCATTCAACATCTAATTAGTGATTAGCAACAGAGGACAGTGATTAAACACTAACTTACTACACAAAGTGGTAGAAAGCACAGAATGAGCAGATGCACACAGTGGTACCCAAAAATAGAACCATTTAACTTGCAATGTTGGAAAGGTGGTTCAAGAAAGGGAACGGCTAGGGGGCAGCCTACAAAAACATCAGCTCAGTATCCACAGATTATACCCATCTAGAAGCAAGAACTATGCTTTTATGCTTCTCAGTATCCTCCATAGAGTCTAGTGCTATCTTAAACATTCTGTGAGTAATAAGTCTTCTTAGACTCTTCGTATGCATGTGGTACCATCAGTTTCAACATCTGGACCAATTTGGTGCATGGTGGGTACATGGATCCTGCCCTCCAAGGGGCAACCACAAAAGAAAGGGATTTAATTTCATCCTTCTCTTTCCTCTTTATTCTGACTTTGTATTTCAAAGAATATTAATAAAATATTGCCTTCTAAATAATGTAATTACAAAAAATTCCAGTATATTTCCATATTTGATCCTAGTAGTTACTCTGTTTTTGTTTTTTGTTTTTTGCAGTTCTGGGGATTGAACTCAGGAACTTGTGCTTGCGAGGCAAGTTGCAGTGCCACTGAGCTAAATCCTCAGCTGCATCTAGCAGTTACTCTGAATATTCTAAAACAGCATACAGTAATAATATATTGATAACAAGAAAATGATAGTTTTAAGTTTGAGAGGATTACTTAGACTCTGTATTTCAATTGCTTTAAATCCTAGTGGATAACCCAGTTAAGACTCTAAGTTTAGCAATAAAAATCATTTAATGTTGAAATCATGATTTATTAAATTGAATGTTGAAAAAGAATAGCAATTTAAACTTACCTAGAGAAGGAATAAATTTAGTCTTTATTGTTTATTTTTCTGCTTTAGTCATATCAAATAGTTTCTCTTGCGCTTTAGACATCTATCCACCCTTCTAAATATCTGTTTAAACAAAATTCTTTATGCCTACATCAATCATTTTTTTTAATGTTAAAAGATTTTCCCTTGATTTTCACAGTTCAACTGAAACAAATGAAATTCTTAGGAAATATTTAGGATAACTGAAGTAAAGTTAAATTAAGTTATTAAAAGAACAAGGACCCCACAAAAAATATACAATACATCAGATTTTATTATTTTCCACATATAGTGTTATTATCTGAAACAACATGACTAAGTGAATCAGACTCTTTTTTAAAAAATTAAGTTTGAAATGTACCATACCAGGTCTTGTTCTCTCTTTTTACATTTATTTCTTGCTTGTTCCTTCCATTTTTTTAGGATCATTTTTAGCTTACTGTAATGGAGTATGTGCTGTACCCCCAGTACCGCATCTGAAGAAAATTTATTAGGTTACTGTATATAGTTAAAGCCGAATTCATAGTCTATCATTCACATAACATACACCAAAGTTGCATCTGATAGTTTTTGTTTCATTTTTATATACTTGTGACAGTATTAGACAGTAATCATGAGTGCTCACTTTGGCAACACATATGCTAAAATCAGAATGATAGTACTCATGAGACGTTTCTGACCAGTAAACATCACCTCTGCCCTTAGAAATTAAAATGTAATAGAAATATCAAGATAAGGATAACTTCTTTTTACAAAAACAAATCTGTTCTTTGTAAAACCAGAACTTCTAAGCTTATTTATAAGAAACTCAATCATGAGGTAGTGTTCGCATTCTTTGCCTGCCCAGGAATTCAATGAGATGCCCTTTAGTTGAATGGATTGCCTTCCATTTGGGACAGGACAATGAAGCAGCCTGGGATGCTGCCCGCAGATCCTCAGCTGCGGCCAACCTGTGTTCTCTCAGAAGTAGAGGCCCAATATTTTGCTCTTCTTTGCTTTGCTTTTCTTTTCAAAAGAAGCTGGATATCAGGATTTTATATAACTACTTCTAACATTTAAACTTTGGCAACAAATTTTTTAAAGTTGTTAACTATTATGCAAATAGAGCAAAATATGTCGGTACCAGTTTTCAACAGCAGAGGTAGAATATTACAGCTTTTGTCTTCCCCCTCCATCTGCTTTTGTGGGTCATGGCCCCATTAAATATTGCAGTTTTGCTCTAAAATCTAAGCTCTTCAAGAAGCCTAGAATTCATTAGTTTTGTTAATTAATAGTTCTCAAATTGGGCTGTTCTTATGTAACTGAGAATGATAAGCACTTATCATTACCCTTGATCTTAGCCAAAAGGCCGAGAAGCGATGATAAGCACTTATCATTGCATATCCGCTCAGTTCAGCTAACTCATCTACTGAACTACTGTTTCTTCATTGTGCTTAAAGTTTTTTGGTTCAGTCAGGGGAGCTAAGTGACTTTTGTTTTAAATTTAGCTCCCAGAGGAACTAACAAAACCAGATGTAGCTACTTGATTATTTCAGTAATCTTTTCTAGAACAATAATCTTAGAAATTTCAACGTTTTTGAATCAACATGAGAAATAGTTGGCACAAAAGTTAATGGTTTAATGGTGTACTACCCTGCCATAAGGATAAATGTGAGTTATTTGTGAGAAAACGGATGCACTTCGAGACCATAATATTAAGTGAAATAAATCAAATACAAGTTTACATATCACGTGGTTCCTCTAATATGAGAAACCCAAAGTATAAATAAAAGAGCAAAATAAAGGATAGATAATAGGAAGTAGGAAGATATTTTCAAATGGGAAGGGGAACAAGAGTTGATAGGGGCAGGAAAGGGTGGAAGGGGAAGGGAACAAAAAAAGATTAAAGATGTGCTATGTACATATACAAACTACCCACAAGAAATGTAATCATTATGTACTGCAAACACATACTAATAAAAAAATAAAAAGGAAAAAAGTTAATGATTTAAGTCAATAAATTTTTCTATTCATTTTCAGTTACATGCCTTTTGCTTGAATTGCTTTCCACCAGAATACCCTTCTATATATTTTAATGGTGGATTTTAGATTTCATTATTTGTTATAACAATTCCAAAGTAAAAGCATCTTGGAGGAAATTACTGTTATTTCCTTAGAAACTCCTATTTGCCTAGCACTTAACATGCTAGAAGGTCGTTTTATATATCCTCTAAATTACATCTGCTTATAATATTTCTTAGACCCTTAAGGTTATATCATAAATGTACAATAAAATATTCGAATATTGGTTCTATTTTATTAATTTTTGTTCATTTTAATGGTTCCACTTTGAAAATCATAATTTAGGATTATTGTTTGAAATTTCTGGCAATTAAATCTCAAGCAAAATTTTAACTTTTTTCACAATCATGAATATGTAGAGCATAGCCTTCCACAGGGGAAGAGGACTAGCACCTATAATATGCCATATATGAAGGTGACTTAGATATTTTTAAGAGATTATGTAACTTTGAGATTACTTGACTTAGATTTAAAACAGGAATATGAATGTTTGCTGCATAAATATAATAAATGCTTTAAAAATATATGCCCTTGTGTTGTATGAAGGTTAGATAAGGCAAAAAGGAGGGGGGCAAGAGACAGAAGGGAAAATATTGAAAAGAAACAAGTGGGTAGAATTAGGAAAGAAGAGTAAGAGGAGAGCAGAAAAGAATATGCACACTTTCACATCGCTCCCTCTAACAAGGAGAGAGACTAGAAGTGAAGGAGACAAAGGCGAAATGAACAAGACATGGTATCAGAGAACAAGAGAAGGTGCAGAATTGGGAGAAGGGTGGAAAGAGGGAAAGAATATTAAAAAGAGAAACACAAAGAAAGTGTAAGAAACCACTGGAAGAGGAGAGGTCTTGAGAGATAAAAGGAGCAACTCTGGGGGTCGGGCAGGGTGGAGTTTCGATATGACTGGCTCTGAGATCCACCGCAGAGGCTGGTAGAGCACACTTCGAGGTGTGTCGAGGCGGCTCACAGAGGCATGGCCTCGGGGTCTATGCCTGGTGCCTTACTCCTGCTCTGGCTCTGTTCTTCTGCCTTGCTTCCAGCACCGCAAACTGCAGCTTTGTTCCCCACACCCTTCTGCCACGATGGCGCTGCCTTGGAGCCAGCTGACTGACGACGGACTGAAACTGTGGGCAAATTAAACCTCTCCTTTAAGTAGTGGTTGTTGGGTATTGTGCCTCGATGACCAGAAAGCTTACTAATATCCTCTGGTAGAGAGGGAAAGGATTTGGTAGAGTGGCTATTCTAACCTACAAACTAATACGCTTTCACCACAGGGTTTGCAGTTCATCCATGATAGGAATTTTGAAGATAGCTATCACACCTATTATTACAACCCTATGAAATGCCAGTTAGCCAATTAGCCAGTTTCTAATTCTTCCTTACATTTACATTTAAACCTTAAAAGAATCTGCTTTGAGCGAAGTTCCAACAGCTGGTCAAAAGAAGCTGATTTTCTGCTTTACCCCAGCTATAAATGAGCAGAACATCTAAGCAAAAAGCAGGAGTTTTCTATCCTGACTCCTAAGCTCACACATGCACACTATCCTCTCATAGACACTAAGTCTCAAGTAAGAGAAAATAATTTTTCTTTAAGCTTCCTCACCTGCACATTAAGTGAAACATTTGTAACAAAAGTAGATCTCTCTGAAAAAATATTCAATTTTTGGTACCTACCCAGAATATATTAGCTTTCTATTACATAAAAAAGCTAATAGTAGGTCCCTATTTATATTTGTATACATACATACACAAATACACACAGGATTTGCTTTAAAATATGCCGATTTCTATTACAATAAAATCTTTTCAAATATATTTCATTCAGTATTTTAAATTACTGGTTCTGCCTTCATTTCATAACAATTCTCTAAACATAAAAACAGGTTCACTTAAGCACACAAACCATGCTTCTTTGTGGATTCTTTGAATAAATACATACAAAGGAGGGGCTGGGGATTTAGCTCAGTGGTGCCCGCACTGCCTCACAAGTGCAAGGTCCTGAGTTCAATCCCCGGTACCAAAACAAACAAAAAAATACACACAAATACACACACACACACACACACACACGTCAAAAGTAATTGCTATCATGTAAGGATTTACCGTCAAATTTTTCTTTTTGCTTTTCTACATAAGAGCACCACTGATGAAATAAAGATTTTTGAAGTCTAGAATTATAATATGTTATTGCTCTTTTCATTTTTTCAGCCAGGACGTCTTCTTCACTTACACGAGATATTGCTGTGTCTCTCCATGTGCTATAGGCAAAAAACACAAAAAAATAATATTTTGATGTTAGCGGAACACATTAGTAAATAAATTGAGAGGATCAAGAAGTGATACTTCCCTTATTCCCAACATTCTTATCAGAAAAATCACATTCTTACCAAAAATGGATCTTTACTAGATGTCCAGTGTAAAAGGTGCATGCTTTTATCATCAATTCTGGAGTCATCTGAAATGAATAATTAAACATCAGAATTAAGTGAGATACACAGGATGCCTCTGCAAGATACACAAGGAAATGAGAGTAATGGTTGCCTCCAGGAGAGGAATTGGGCAGCTGGGAGAAAGGAATGGTTTAAAAGCTGGGCCAGGGATTTAGCTCAGTGGTGCTGACACCTGTCTCGCAAACACAAGGTCCTAGTTCAATCCCTGGTACCAAAAATCAAAAAGCTATATACCATCATATATTTAGGAATTTTATAGTGCATACCTATCATCTATATTTAAAATTTGAATCACCACTTAAAATTATCCCATAACATCTCCCTGACTTTAAAGCATTTTTCCAGTACGTATTATGGCATTTTTTATTAGTTATATTAATAAGAGTGTAGAATTTTAGGTCTGCTTGTCACTGTGAAGACCGAGTGATTTTATTTATCAAGGGTATGAGACTCTCTTAAAAAAAGAAAAAAAACATGTAGGAATGCCTCATATACCTGGCAGGAATAAGAAAACCATGTAAGTTATAAGTCTAAACTATGGAATACACTTAAAGAGATGCAAATTTATCACAATGAACTATTCACAATAACATGGGAAAACAGCTGCAAATTGCTGAAATCATTTGCACTTCTGTAAGACAATGAGCGAAGATAATATTAACACATTTATTATTTGCATATGACTACTATTAAATGTTAATAGTGTTTTTCTCACATTTTATTGTCATCTTGTTCTCTGCATAGATAAACTTGGTGGAGAGATAAGTTTGGTTCAAATCTATACCAATTGCCAGGAATTCTGAATTCTATTTTTCTAAGGCCAGTGTTTTCCTCCTTTGCACAATGAAGTAAAATGCTTTGTTACATTAATAGATACAGCATACACATGTTAATCATGGATTTATTTTATGTATTTTTTAATTTTCCATTGTTTATTGGTACATTTTAGGCATACAATACAGTTATATTCATTATTGGGATCTTGTATCTCTACATGATGTATCTTGGTTCTTAGTTTTGTCCCATTCCCCTGCCCTCCCTTCACCCCCTCCACCCTTCCCTATTTACAAAGACTTTGTTTCCATTTGTTCCATTTCTCATAATTTTTCTTTTCCTTTCTTTCCTTTCCCCTACCCCTCCCACTTCCCCTACTCCTTTAGATGTTTTCGTTCTATTTCACAATATCAATTATACATTTTGATCCTTATTTACACTTTGTTTTTCACACCAGAGAAACTATTTGGTATTTACACATGTGTGTCCTATTTATTTCACTTAAGACTACGGCCTCAGTGTGCATCCACTTAGCTGTAAATATCTCTAGTTTCTCATTCTTTATGTCTGAGTCGTACTCCATTTTATTAAAAAAAATGTATTTTCTTTATCCAGTCTCCAGTTGATGGGAACTTGGGCTGTTTCCAAGTTTTAGCTATTACAAACTGCAGCTATAAACATGGGTGCAAATATATCACTGTGGTATGATTCTTTTAATTCTTTTGGGAAGATACCCAGTAGAGGAATAGCTGGGTTAAATGGGATTTCTAATCCTAGTTGTTTGAGGTATCTCCATATTGATTTCCACAGTGGTTGCACCAGTATGTACTCCCACCAACAATGGAGAAAGGTTCCTTTCTCCCCACAACCCCACCAGCATTTCTTTCTTTCTTTTTTGGTACCAGGGATCAAACTCGGGTCCTTGAGGTTGCAAGGCAGGTGGTGGAGCCACTGAGCTAAATCCCCAGCCACTGAGCTAAACCAGCATTTGTTATTGGTTGATATCTTAATAGCAGCCATTCTTTCTGGGGTGAGGTGGAATCTCAGTGTTGTTTTCATCTGCATCTCTCAAATGATCCCTGATGTTGAACATTTTTCATATGTTTATTTGCTGCTTTTACTTCTTTGTCTGAGAAATGTCTGTTCATTTCACATGCCCATTTTTGAACTGGGT